ATATTCTTTCACAATTTATAAAATTTACAGTATTTTATTCATATAAAATATGAGTATACCGGTATAAAATTTGTGTTATTACTTCAATGTTTTTGAATATATTCTTGAGACTAAATTAAACACCTTCTCTTCCCTCTGCCACAAAAATTTACTAAAAACCTTTAGTAACTAATAAACTCAGAAAGGCTCTGTGAATGAATTTTATTTTATTTTTTTTACTATTTGTGTCTCCAATAAAGACAAAAACCTCAGTCATTACTTACCAAGTTTTTCACATGACAAAGTCTGACAAAGATGAACATATTAATAGTCACCATCAGTTATACTAACCACAATTATGTTTATTATAAATATGTACATTTGGGGCTAAAACAAAACAAAGCAGTAGCAGAATGAGGGAGATTTATTTTAAGTGTTTATGTTAAATAATTGCCGGTGTGTGCTCACTTAGTCAATATGAAACAGTAAAACTAATTGAGGTGGTATTTAGGAAAAAAAATTGAGAGAGATATATAAAGACAATGAACTAGAGGCACTGCAAATTATACATACTCACAGCATTTATTTTATAATGACATAAAAGACAACTTGTATAAACATAGTGAGCAACTTTGGCAAAACACATTCAATCACAAGTGTTTTAGTTAGAAGTGGTATTAAATTCTTTGGATGTTTCAGACTGAAATATTATAGAAATTGATCATAAAGTGAATCTTAAATTGGCTGGAAAACAAAGTATTCAATGAGCATGTTTTCATAAAAAACAAAACAAAACAACAAACAACAACAACAACAACAAATATCCCCAGACGATTAACAATGTAATGTGTTCAGGATATGGTACAATCTGAGGAAAGAAAACAGTAGATTCAAAGAGACCATCTAAATGACCAGTGTAATCATTTTTATGCATTAAAATAGAAAAACCTGTTTCTCAAGAATTCTATTCAGGCAGCGTGCTGAATTTCTTTGACAAGCCCACTAGGTTAGAAGTAGTGACTCGGTGACTGCTGAGTTTGCACTTACAGCCACTACATAACCATTATGTTAGACTACCATTTAGCAGAAAATCATTGTCTTTATCGTCCACAAGTAAAACAGAAAAGACATTTATTAGTTGCCCTTCTTCTTGATCCAGCTCTTCCTCAGCCTCAGCTTATTGGGAGCCTTGTCTTTCTTGACATTTGTTTTTAAGTACTCTCATCATGTCACTTTTTGGCAAAAGTCAGTGCTTATAGGTAAAAATTCCACAAGGATGGGGCCCATATCTGTCTTCTTTACCTTCCTTATCTATAGGAGAACATATTACCTGGATCATAATAGGCTCTGTACAAATTTCTTTCATAAATAGATGAATGAATACCCACGGTAGTAATTTTGTTAACAATAAGCCATATCATTCCAGAGCTGTGAACCAGGAATCACAAATATCTCCCATTAAAAGAGTTAATTTGTACTATAACTGAATACATAGATTTTGGAAATTCCTGTGACTTTCTGGCCAGGCTAAGTAGAGAAGTTATTGTCTGATAAGATTGAAGAATATAAAGTGTCTTGTTTCTAAGAACCATCTGAAGATTTTCAATATTTATTTGATGTAATCATTATGATTTGTTTCCTTATAGAATGGGAGAAAACACAACATATAAATAAGCTCTGTAGTATAGCTTGTGAATAGGACATGTGTTTTTTCCCTTAGATAAAATGATATTATTCCTGAAGATATTGGTTGAGATTTAGCTATTCTAATTATTTTATAAAATGTCCATTAAAAAAAATCTGTCCTCAAAGATTAAAATCAATTTAATGATTGTGTCATAATAAAACTGTCTTTAAAACCTAATTCATTTTTTTCTAACATTTTCTTTTTAAATATATAAGTATATAAAAGAATAATAATACAGTCAAGATCCATGTCCCCATCACCCAGTTTATAGGCTGATTCATTAACAAATGTGAATATATATTCCTATTTTAAGATGAAAGGTGTCCAGAATTAAAGCAGGAAATGGAAACATTACTGTCAGAGGCCATCCAACTCATTAAAAGTCTGGAAACTGACAGGGCAGAAGCCGAAGAAGCTTTAAAACGACAAAGATTAAGAAAGAAAAAGATTAAAATGACAATCGACTCTTGGTCAATCTGGAAACTTGAAGAACTCCCATTAGCTGTGGAGAAAGGTAATAATAAAAGATTTTTCATATTGCCATTTACTCTTTTGGAGAGCATGACAATCGACTCTTGGTCAATCTGGAAACTTGAAGAACTCCCATTAGCTGTGGAGAAAGGTAATAATAAAAGATTTTTCATATTGCCATTTACTCTTTTGGAGAGGCACGGATAATCATTTGCAGCTCTGTGTAAAAAAACACCTCTGTTTAGAGTGACCATATTATTTTGCATACAAACCAGGGCACTTTTGAAAGATGCGATTAATGATAAAGCTGGGTTCACAGACCTGGACCTGCTGTCATTTGGGTCAGTTGAAGATTCCATGGCATTTGTAGTACCTAACAGGCATGCAGACATTTGGCACATATTTCCTATAATGGCAATAGTATTTGAGTTACTAGAAATTTATAAATTTAAAGTGATTGCCATTTGGTATCAATAGCCACATTTTTAAATCTAGGAAAATAAAAGAGTTCTAAGTGACATTTTAGGAACTACATGCATATGCTTTTGAGAATTCAACAATAAATTTGCTTTGAGAACTTGTAGCATGCATTGAAATCTAAATTGTTTCCAGGGGTCATGCAGTAGCAAATGTTTAAGAAGGAAATGCTGTCTTTTAGACCACAGACTGAGGGACCTATGGTCAAGTATTAAACAATCTAAAGGTATCGGATTTTTTTGTTTTGCAAACACTGTGCCTATCAAAACATGCCTGACTACCTGATTCTGCCTGAGGCTCGAAGGTTTTTACCCGTTTATAAGATAAACATTTTCATTCAGGATCCACATGCTTTGTAACTGTTTTTTACTAGAGCACCTAAATAATCTGTCATTTAAACAAACAAATTTTTGAAAGGAAAGGGGATGCTGTTAATTAATACTCTGGGACAACAGCCTTTAATTTCAAATTATATGTCATAGTGAACCCATACATAAGTATTTTAAAACCGTAGTCTCTAAAGTGGGGTATATACATTTCCAAGGAGTTGCAAGAAAAGATTAGAACTTTTATTCATATTTGAAAATTTTATTCTTTTTGTAATTCTTTTTTTGAATAGTATGTATAATGTGCACACTCTACTAGTATGATAGCATAGATACATAACTTTCAAATACATATATACGTACTTACTGGCATTTTAGAGGCACTGAAGCTACAATAGGGTCAGAATATGCTAGGAAATTCTGGATCCCAGCAGATTCTTGAATAAACTCATATTCACATTCATAAAAAGTCATCTGTAATTTTCCAAAATGTTTTCAAGGCCCTTTCTTGTTAGTAGTAGTAGTAAAGTTACTTTTCAGAGCTGGTTTTATTTAATTTTTTGCTGATCAATCTATATATAATCTTATATACACTTTATTAGATTGCTGAGATACTGTAGTTTTGGGTCTATGTGGAGTTCTACTTAAGGAGTTATTGAAATAAAAATTAAATTGGGATACATATATGCACATTCTAGGTTCCTAAAACATAAATGTGTTTTGAATGATAGAATAAATACCTGTCATGGTGATAACTTATTGTTTGTGTTGCCTTTTAATCAATGCTATTAAAAATCTACTTAATAAATTAAAATTTATGTTCATCTGTTTCATTTTATGTAAGTAGCCAATATATGCAATGACATTTGTTTATTATTATTATGTTGTATTAGTCCTTTCTGTTTCTTATAACAAAATACTTGGAACTGGGAAATTTATTTAAATAAAAAAATACATTGCTTACAGTTGCAGAGGCTGGAAGTCCAAAGTCCTGGGAACACATCTGGTGAAGGCTTTCTTTGGTGATGACTTCAGTGATGACAGAGTATCGCACTGAGAAAATGGCAGAGCAGAGAGAACAGAGAGAGAGACAGACTCTGTTCTCTCTTCATTCAAAGCCCTCAGAACCACACCCCTGACCACCATTTTTAATCCATTCCCTATGGCATGGTCCTGCAATCTAATCACCTCTTCAAGGCTCCACCTTTCAGTTACCGTAATAGGATTTCCCACCCTTTTAACAGTTACAGTGGGGGCTAAGTTTCTAATACATAAAACTTGGGGACACAAATCGAGCTTCGATGGGTTTGGGGGGGGACATAATTCAATCCACTATATATGTATTTCTTAAGAGCTTTCTTTTAAGAACATATTCCTGAAAAGTAATGTGCTTTAGGAATCGGCTGCCTTTATAACAATATACATAGTATATAATCTCTAAAATTTTTGAATTTATTTATAAAGTATAGAATTATATATTTTTATAGTCTTTAGGTTCTCAAAGTCTCTAGCATATGAGACAGGAAAAACTTCTAATCTCCTTAACAGCCTTAACATTAAGTATGATATTTGTTATAAGCTTAAATAATTTTTTATAAAATTAAGGATGTCCACATTTCTCTAGATATCTTCTGGTTATTCCTACAGATCTATCCCACCACCGCTTATATCTTTTGTTCTGTGGTCCTGGATTTTCTTTTCCCTATCAAAAAAGATAACCAGAAATGTTTTCTATCATGAATTGGGTACTATATGATCCTACAAATTATTAAACTGGATATGCATAGCAGTGTTCCCTTGTAAAGTCAAAGTGTACATATATTATACCCAAGAAGCATCTGAAGGCACAAATAAACTAGTGACTCCAACTCCCTTGGTATTCCCATTATGCCTGTTTCTATAGATTCCTTGTCTTTCCCATAATCTATATTTA